GAAAGAAGGAGAAGACGACGAAGAGTTTATCTATTGAGGAAACTTCTGGGGCGCTCAACCATGTTGATCCCGGGAGTATATTCAGATTACTCGGATAGAGGGTCGAAGGCGAATACAGACGAAGCTGACTTATTCGGTTGATCGACTTGTAGAGCAGATACGCAACTTAATTTCCTGTTATTGAAGACTACGAAAGAAAAAATGTATTTTCATTGGACCAATATTGGGTGCGAGGTGGTGTTGCCTACACAATTATTGGTGTTCGACCTTTTTATACCAAAGCCTCGACGCCGGACATGTAGTTTCTCCGAAAGAGTTCAAATCATTGAGACGTACAAACATCCAGGAATCGAAAGTTTAAGCAGATGACAAGGGCACAGGGTCAGTCTATTCGCATCAACCTCACCTGGTGCTGGCCATTCGCTGGTTGGATTGACACCGACACAGGATTTTTGACTTGAATTATATCAGGTACAGAATAAGTGGAATGGGATTGTATTCAGATATTTTTATCTCGTCGATTGGTACCAAGCATACGGTTCCGCGGCATCTTTTGAGCTGTGGTCATACTGAAGAGGGTGGAATATAACCTTCATCCCGCGGAATTTGGTCCTTTCCGGTGGAGTGGAGTGTTGAAAGGTGTCAACATCAGGGTTTTCGAGCCACCCGTACAATCCGCTCCAGGAGCTTGCATTTTTCCGACACATTGAAGCAGCTCCCGGTGGATCTTTACCAAACTGAGAATCTATGAGTGTGCGGCAATGTACACCCGTTGTTTTCGTAGTAGGCTGGGAGTCAGCAGTGGACACCTCCCCTGTCAACGATTATGACCGTACAGAGGTAAGTCGTCGTTCAAGTTCTCTATATAAGGGCCCATTTTGCTTACTGATAGAACAGATTCCCCATCCAGTACTGAAATCGTCTCTGACGTTCCCTACTGTTCCACTTCTATCAAGAACCATCCACTGACTGGTATGTCTCATGGTGCTTTCCTTAACGCTGCTTACATATATCATGTGACAGTTAGTCTCAAGACGTTCAAACCATGTCTACTAGAGTAGATGCTATCGAAATTGCCGACCCCGTGCTCAACCTTTACAACTCAAAGGGGCAACTTAGCAGGAAAAAGAATATGCAAATTTGGAATAGTCACGATCCAGGGTATTTCAAGGACAACAGCACGCCCAATGTTGCTGGATCGATTTGGCCCGTAACGATAGACGTATCGAAATCCACACAACTCGTCGTTAGCCTATACATTGACCA